TATACGATATACATATATCCCATAATTATCCAGGCTGTCATAGTGGTGTCTCTTTAATTTTTGACTAACAATGACAAACAGTGAGAAAAAAATAAACACGAAGAAAAATCTTTGGCAAAACGACTCGGTTTGTGACTTTTTGAGATTGGCATTTGACACGTTTGGATACGTCTCTGATACAAACGCATGGCATGATATCGTTCCGATTAATTTTAAAAATATGTATCTAATTGTGAAGGTATATTTGTCAAGATGATTATTATGATAATTATCAATTATAGTGATCACTTCGAAACTTGGTATAATATTAGATTTTGTGACATTTCTGATGAAAAGGTATATCAGTATGGAGGTAGGTAGAGTATTTAGGAGGACATTCTTGATTATGTGATATGCATTAAGTACCAGTTGTGCAATTACCATAAAAATACTTTTTTCAATACATGATTGCGTATGTACAAAGTCTGTTCTGTAACACTATTTTACCCTTGTCAAGATACCTACTACATGACATCATATACAATGAAATATCTTTCGAAATAATACTGAGTCAGCACCCTCTGTCGTTTGTGAAGATCAGTCACCGGTACGGCCCCTTGACGTCATTTTGGGAAACAATATATTACTGGTACTAATACACGAAATATGTATATCTAGTTTACTCCATAAATATAACACCTATTGTTCCAGAACTTTCAAAATTCGTGGAAATAAAATTCGCTCCATAAACAAAGCTTGGTCTTCCCAAGAGTTTTATGTGATTTTTCGTAAAACGGTGAAGATAGAAATTTAAAATGCAAATTTCCAACAGTCGTAAAATAAGAACTATTTACATTGTACTGAGTAGTAAAATCGATACCTGCTTTGGAAACCCTGTGCCCGAAGGCGTGCTGCATATGCATTAAAAACAAATAATTATAAAAAACTTGGGTATATAGTTGCGTAAAGATAGAACTTAATTGCCCATGACTTCTAAGCCTAGGTAATCGGTCGCTTTGTACAGCGAGCGCAGCTACATTATAAATCTAAGGGACGAAACTGACAATCATGACGAAAATTAATTATATATATTTGAACACGGAACGTAAACTTCTGAAACGAAATATTATGTTACTTGTCTATAGTTTCAAAATCGCAAGTGACATCGTTTCGTGTTATTTGGTACTTACACGGTTTACAATGTAATTTTTCATACTCTTTGAACTTAGTAAATGTTATTGGTTTTGAGAACCAATTAAGAGTGTTGGTGAAATTGCAAGAGCATGAGACTTGTCAAATTATATCTCAAGGTGACGTGCCCAGTGCAGTATCCTTCAGATTTTTGCGGTTTTAACCTCTGACTGGAGCTGCAACTGTTATGAACAGGCTCCCACCAGACGCACGACTTGTTCGTCCTGTCACTTGGAATCATAAAAAAAATATTTTCGAGTTCTTAGCTCTTCGCGATTACTATGTATTGGAAATGAAACAATTATTTTTCCATATCTAAATCGTTTATTATATTCGTTTTGTGTCAAGCGTAGCAAAACTTTACAGGTCTCATGATACCGGCTGATTGAGATGGTGAAGTTATCAACCAATTATGTCTAATATTAGTGTAAAAGACCTATTCTGTACTATACTGACAAAAGTTTTTAATTTAAATACGTTTTTTTTACCAAAGACCATACCAATGTACGCTACTTGATGTGGTTTGTTTCTACTAAATTATAAGGAAATTATAAATAAAATAGAACATGTTAATGAAAAGTACTACAGTGTAATAACATCTGCTTGGGATTTTCCATTAGAGGAAATACTCGAGCCTATGTTGGTAGCATGGAGCAACCATTTTCCCTGTTTCTTAGGTAGAAAGTTGTCCTCCGACCCACCCCCCAGACGAGTGAGGCCGTGCAATGCAGGCTCCAGAGTGTTCAGGGACGCCCTGCCACCTTACCTATTTTTACCGCCAAGCAGTAATGTCAGATTTACTGTGTTCCGGTTTTGAACGGCAAGGGAGAAAATACAAGCATATGGGACTTGTTAACTTATGTCTCAGGGTGACAGGCGCAGTGGCAGTGCCTCTTAGACCTCTGCGACTTAAAGCTCTGAGGACACTGCAACTGTTATGGACAAGCGTGCAGCTTAAGAACTATCAGACGTACAACTTGCTCATGCCGTCACTTGATATTATATGAATTAAAAAAATATTTTGGCGTATCAAACTCGGTGCCGTATCGCATGATCGCGAAGGCATAATTTCACGTCCAATCCAGCGACTATTATTACGTAGACCATTAGCTATATTATTAGATTGTTTATGTCCAATACTTAGCTACATTAAATCAAAGTTAATATACTACAAACAATGCAGACCGAAATTATCGGGGTACCTACCTCTTTATATCATTTCAAAGAATTATAGCTATACTTGACTAGCCCAAACTGTGTAACAAAATAGAATGTAGCCAAAAATAGCGAATTGAATTAGTGAAGAGAACCGTACTAGAGTATAAGGAGCACTTTCCGAAAGAGGATAGTTTAGTAGAGCGCGTCTTCTGAACTTTCCGAATACACGATATCAGTCAGGACACGTACTGAAATACAAATCACCGTTACACCACTAACAAATAGCACTTTAATGTAATAACGCTTGCAGCGCCATGCCGATAGACTTTATTTTGCTTGTATGAATTATTCAGCAGTAATTTTGTAGCCGTGAACGATTGAGTAAAGTTGATATTATGTGGTGCATATATTCGTAGTATTTCCGATGTACTTAAAGGTTTTTTATATGCAGATAGCTGCAAATTTATTGGATAGCTTAGCGTACAAATTGTACCGAAAGTCGGTAAACGGAATATAACTAAATGTAATAAGGATATTCATGACCTTAAGCGTTTGCTGGCTAAGCCGGCCCGAATAAGTTTCCCCCAGAGCTTAGAGTCAGGAGTGGCTATAAGCACTGTGGAGAAGCTCACGGACGTATTGCGCTATTAATTTGTGCCGGACGGACGGCGGACGGACCGCAGCAGGCGGTTTGACGTATTATCGTCGCGCCGCACCACTTAGCGCTGCCTGGATACCATACTCTTCTACTGAAATACGACCCTTCAGTCGTTGAATAGAGCTTGCACATTGCTCGTTGATATGGCAATTTATTGTTTAACTCTGCAACACTGTACTGCTTCAAATATAGAGAATAACGTAACTTTTTGCTGTGGAGTCATATGGACATAGTTTGGCTCTGGCGCGTGTGATCGCTAATTACTTTCTGAACAATGAATACCTATACCCTATCCTTTACCCTACTCATGGATCTAATACTCGTAGATTTCACTCAGTATGTAGGTAATAAATTAACACCTGTACATAGACACCATTTTTAGTTTGAGATTTTTTTACTATAGTTAGTGTATTTGAGAGACGTTTTTATTTTCTATGTCAACACAAAAGAGTTTTACCTCAACTACGAAATGAAAAATAAAATGTTTATGATCCCTAATAACTGATAATCTTCTAGACTCTTACATTATGTCCCGAGAACATGCAAACATTTATTTATCTATGCACAACTTTTTGTGTGTAAGTAACAATGTAAAGAAATTGTACTTATAGTACCGAAATTGTATTTATACTTGCTTATAAAGAAATATAGCTGAGAAGATAAAGCTTCGGATACAGGATGGAATCTGGAAGATCCAGCGAGGCGCGTGTTGCTCCAATATTCATGAGACCGCCGCCGGCCGCGTCGCTATCGGCAGCCGCCGCCGACACAGGTAAGGCCGAGAACACTATCTCACATTCGGCCTCCTTCCTCCATCAAAGTAACGACTTGCTGTTCGGAATTCTTTAGTGACCCTCGCCTGACACATTTATTTTACCTGTTATTGCTTAGAGGAATATAACCAAAGATGAAAACAAATCTAGACACATAACCTCGTCGAAAGGTATGTACGAATTGTTGCAGTTACTACATGTAATGTTATGTACCTACATTCATTAGAGTCGAGAATTCGCTGTAGGTAATTGATTTTTATTTCAAATTATCGTTAAAAATTAAAAAAAACATATTAAGGTAGAATATCACGGTGACGGTTTTATCTTTACAGAAGAGATAGTGTATTAATAGCGCGTTTTTTATTCAATATGTGCCAGTTGCCTGGTCTTTAACTAGGGAATACCCTATAGGTACTATGAATACCAGAGCAATGAAAGTCACTCTGGGGCGCTACTTAGAACACTCAGACGAGAACAAATTTAGAAAAGTAAATTTCCAAATTAGAACTACCGGGAATTGAACCTGAGACCTACGTATCCAGTGCTCACAACGTAAACCGTCAGGGCACCGAGGCCGTCAATTTTTTTATTGAATTGATATGATCAACACTAGCTCTATGTAGTTTGCGTGATTAAAATATAATTGTAAATTAAATCAAATAAATCACTTATAAGAATAGGTAATGTTTTAAATCATACATTCAGCATTTTTATTTTCGCTCAAATGAATACTGTATGCCACATTTGTACTCTAGTAAAAAAAAGTTATGTTTGTACAAGTTTATGCGAAAACATCACAAAAATGTATATAGTCTAATTGACTATATAAATAAACCTAAAGGAAATCTCTAAAATGCGAAATCTCTATTACTTATTCTTTGACATTGTTTATTTAATATGGATAACATTCAGAAATAGCTCTGCCAGCATTCTATACTTACAAATCAAATGCACATAGCATATGTATACATGAGTTGTAAACTTGACAATGAATCTTCTGAAAAATGAATCGAAAAATCGAGAAATAAAGAAAACCGCTTTGTTCAATGGTAAATAGGTAAAAACATCATACACCTATAGATATAAAAGCAAAAGTTCATGTAAACATTGTGTGAACACTATTGTGAAACTTATCGCATTTGTAATTTAGAGTTGCACATAAACATTTTAAATGCCACAAAAAGCGGGACTGGAAATGCGCTTGCAACCTGAGCAAAATTTAGTTGTTAGCGTCTGCGCTCAAATAAGCGAAGCGGCTCCGAACAGGGCGAGGGTAATTGAACTAATAAATCTAGCCGTGTAACTGCGCCCGCTTCAGGATCAAGCCAAGACCATTAAACCTTAGCTCAGATTCCGCTCTGCGTTGCTCTGCCTTCCCGTATGGGTATACGGTGTCACTGTGTCCCCTGCCGAATTTTCACTACTGAATACTTATTCACATACATCGATTTCTATTTTCCTTGTGCGTTCTTAATGCTCTCTACAAGTTCACTACTCGCATGCCCTATAAAACTGTCGTTCAATACGTGTTATCGGTTTAACTTGTTTTGGTTTTAACAGCATTCGATTTCCTTTCTCCCATCTTGACCGCGATATACTTATACCTAGTTTTCATGAATCACTTGTGGTGTTATCACCTTTCTTTCGCGGTGGTCGTATTCTTCGCTTCAAAAGTTAAGGGTAAACCCATAGAGGTACCTACCTATCTGTTATAATAGAATACTAAATAGTAGAAGCGTTGGCGCGTGTTACTTTAATCCAAGTGTCATTTCCAGATTCACGATGATGATTCAGTAGATTTGCCAGAAGATTTCGTGAAATATGTTCAGCAGTTAGGAGCCTCAGTGTTTAAAGTTACAGAAAAATCATTCGACACACGTGGTAATCGCGACAAATTAGTGTTGAAATCTTCTAATACTAGCACAGTCCTGGTTAGAAAGAAAAATGATCTAGTGAGTTGTATAAGAACGCAATAAATGAAGTGTACACTATTGAATAAGACAAACTGTGACAGTGTTCAAGGTTTCCGAGTTAAAATTATCTTCTTGTGTATTGTAGATGGTAAGGAGCACTCAAAATGCTGCTTTGCGAGATATCCTGATGTTGAAGCTCGTTTCTTACTATGAAGATAAGTACAAACTGTCGCGGGTGGACGGGGTTGCAACTACGACACGTACTACCGAGCCTCTAGCGCTGGAGAGACTATTTGATAACCCTGAGTTTACTCGTTACTCTAACACCAAACATAACAACAGGAGAAGCACTGCAACCAAAAGAACAATTGCTAGACGACGACGATACCCAAATGCAAACAGTAGCGGATCGTCTAGGGTAGGTTTAAAGACTTGTTACTATATCACGACTATTCAAGATAGAGGATCTATATATCTGTGTACATTCCTCATGTTTTAGTGGAGTAGGAATAATAATCTATATCATCTGTTGTGGACTGAATAATTAAGTACTTTTGAAATCTTTAATATGTTATTAAAATAAATATTATTTTATCTTTCAGCTTCCTATGCCTTCTGATATGCAAACGATGTACGAGAATGCTGCCGAAGTTGTTGTAATATAAGCTACTTATTGAAATTCTTACATTTTTAAATGGGTCTCCTCAAGGATATTCAAGAAATGAGCAAATTAATAAAAATGAAAACTTTAAAATAATACTGTTTTGCCGAGCTAAAAAAAATCACTGCTGTCACCATTGACTTACAAATAAATGGACGACGGGTCTAATACAGAAACCACGAAAAAATGTCCCAAGTCAACCTATTTAAACGTAGTGACATGTAAAGGAATATGAAAAAGCTAAAACGTTGAATTTAAATTGTAATGTCATCGCAGTACTGTCTAATTTTGCTTGCTTCGCTGTCAATCGAACAAACGGAGACTAAAGCGTGAATGACGCTCTGTATACGATTTTAACGCCCTATAAGTTCGGACACTTTTTAGTGCGAACCCGATGTCCATATAATTGTAAGTCAATGACTGTCACTCTCAGATTTCTAAAGACATTTGCCTTACGTCATTTTATAATCACATGTATTTACGTTATTATTATTTATTACTTATCAAAGCAGTTTCGTGTGGAAAGCTTACACGAGAAGTATGCATCTTCTAGTTCTGCGTGGAAATTTATTTAATTCTAAATTATTACTTTACTCGATACATTTTGTGTCATGAATATACATAAGTAGACATAAAAGATTTTTTTGTAAACCTAAACCTCATAACACAGTATTCATACAATTAAAATTCACTACTTTTGTAAAATGAATGAATTAAATTTACCCAATTTTGTTATTTACTATCGATCAAATAGATGAACAGCTGATGCATGTTTGTATAGAAATTCGAAAAACCTTTCTCTCAATTTTTTAAAGTCGTAAAATAAATTTAAATTTTTAGTCCCAAGAATAACGAAGCTGATCACATTAAATATATTGTCCAAACTCACTTCTATTTTTTTTCAAATTTTCTTGGACATTTTTTTCTCAAGTTGGCACTTGTTCAACGGCGTGAAGCAAAAGGCACTCTCGGGGACGACTCCATCTGCACTAAAAGTGCCATCTATCTGTCGTATGCCGCATTTTAGCGAAGACACCGTGTCCAATGCACCTCTCGGGACATTTCCGATCGCTTTATTAAAATTTAGAGTGATACAATGGAGATCACTTCCACAGCACAAGTTACATCTTGTTAAGGTACTACTGGCACTCATTTTAAGCAACTATTATTCTACACGTAGATTACATAGAGGTATACTAGAACTATTTGTTTATGGAGTTCAGTATTGATTAGAATTGCGTAACGTGTATACGAGTATTATACTTACTTATCAACTTAATTGAGGTGGCGCAGAAGTGGTGTAACCCACATAATTTTTTTTATACATGAAAACAGCATCCAAATATGAAATAATTATATACTCTCTAGTATCATTTAAAATAATATTGTAGAAAAAAAATTAAAGTGGGTTACACCACTAAGAATCAATTTTAGGTGTCATTTAAATAACATGTATTATTTAATGATACGTGTAATCTTCTTACGTTTTCGCGATTGTTTCACGTAGGAAATGAAACTATTTATCCGGATGTAAATCGCGTGTATTTTTTTTTCTAAACGAACCAACGTTTCGGGCCCTTTACAGGTCCCATAACCGTGACCATGGGACCTGTAAAGGGCCCGAAACGTTGCTTTGTTTGAAAAAACAAATATACGCACTTTAAATCCGGAAAAATAGTGTTATCTCCTATGTGGAACAATCGCGAAAACCTAAGAAGATTACACGTATCAATAAATGATACATGTTATTTAAATGACACCTAAAATTGATTCTTTGTGGTGTAACCCACTTTTTTTTTCTACAATATTATTTTAAATGATACTAGAGTATATAATTATTTTATATTTGGATGCTGTTTTCATGTATAAAAAAAATTATAAATTTATATATAAATTTGGAGCATTCTATTAACTTTACTGGAATTCTAGCAGTTAATTAGAGTTTGAAAAGTGTATATTTATTAGAGACGATGAAATTCAAGCTTGATTAAAGATTGACAACGAATTATATTTACGTTTCAGTAAATATGTCTGGTACATAGACGCTTTTCGCAAAGGTTATTACAATAATAACGTACAAGACACATATACTTTATGAATATAGGTTACATATAAAAAGAAAAAAGAAACTAAGAAAACCTGATAGGTACTGGTCAGATATTAGTATTCTCTTCGAAACGAATGTAATGAGCACATCCAGGATTCACAGCGCAATGCTTACTTCCCGTACATTTCCTGAGAAACTTATGGTTTCCATGAGAACAGCTATCGGTCACAATCATTTCGTCTATTCTAATATTTCAACCATCTACCAAGTAGGTACAGTCTTTAATTAAATCCAGTTGTTTCGGCAACATCCCGCAAAACATTACATGCTCAACTTTGTCCACAAATTATGTTTACACCATTCAAATAGACGTTCTTGCGTAAATACTTTTCAAACTTAGTCCATTAAAGAAACTCTACACAAGTAATTACCATAACACAGAGTGGTTTGTTTAACGTTGCCCTTCGATGATTCTACAGAGATGCAAATTCGTATACAGACAAAAAGGATAATTCTTTGTTATTGCTGAGTTTTTGCTGTATAACGTTCATTTTAGTTGATCATATAAGTCCTGCATGAGCGCCGTAAACCTAAGTTGCGTGTTTGACCGAGAGGTCATCGTAAAATACATCATAAACATTAACACATAAAGTAAGCAATTCAATGAACTTCAATGATTGCATTTTTGAACCCCGTTTAAAAACCGCGTAGGTAAGTACATAATATGGTGTCGTAACAATGCTAACTGATATCAAATAGTCCTTAAAATACTTATAACCTTACTGACAGATAAAAATGCGAAAGACACCTAATAATCGGGCAATGTAGCTTGGCAGTTCGCCGAGAATACAATAAAATTAACGGTGTCGTTTATATGTTGGAAGGCAACAGGCTTGCTTGCGCCTCGAAAGAAAGGCTAGGATTCATCGGTTATGATACTCTAAGAGCAAACCAATCAGATTGCATTTTCAGTCTAGAAACAACAACGAAGTTATATTTGTTGCTGAATATTCAGTGTTTGTGTTCTTATTATAGTTGTTTGTAGTTGCAACTGATACCAACAGGTGCAATATTATAGTAAAGATTGGTCACAAGTCAACAGATTGGTCAATCACGGGTGATCTGTCCAAAATTCGTAAACTAAATAACAGGTATACAAGTTTATTTGCCAAAGAGTTAACACTGACTGAACCTTTTGAAGAGATAAATGGACATAAAATGGAATATCTGACGGGCCCGTCCTGTCGCACTTTGTTCCAATCGCATTTCCCCTCGGAACGATCTCTGGGCGGAAATTAATCCATCCGACAAATGAATAGACTGCACTTGTGCGTTGCGTGGGGTGCGCGTACGAGTATGACCCGTGTTTTATCGCTTTTCACGTTTGCACTTGTGTTGAAAATAGTTTGTATTGCGATAACAATTGGAGCCCCATTGCGCCCAATCTCCATGGATCACCGGCAGACTGACTGACCACAAAGATAGACCGACTAGACTGATAGAAATTCAAGATTAGACAAAAGATGACTCGGGCAGCCTTGATGAAAACTTTGACGACTAGAAGACAACTTCTCTTGGACGTCCTACAACTGTACAGAGAAACAACGGTTAATTGTGCAATGCACAACGGGAAGTGAGCGAGCCTGCACCTCAGGCGCCTATCTGGTACACAGGGAGGGTAATGTACGTGCATTGGGAGCGGTTCACCCGAGGCGTTAGACTCTTGAGGACCGGATGAAGTCAGTGACAACCCTGTACACTGGCTGATCCGAGGTTAGAACCTGAACCTAGAAAGTCCCTGTACTTATATGTAACCTGGTATAGTAACCCTTCTCGTATGCCTTAAGGATCAGTATGGAGGGCAACTATAATCAAAACTTATATATAAACGAACGGGGACTGTACTGTACAGACAGACAATATAGACGACGTGACCTTTTACGCCTTCCTTCCACAAATGCGGAACATCCGCCTTATTAATATTCTTTGGGACAAATTGTGTTTTCATCTTTTTAATATATTCACGATTTTAATAATTTTGTATCTAAACATTTAAACATACGTGAAGTGGAGAAAGAGCTTTATTATCTAACCTGGCGAGCATTGTACATGTTACGGTGTAAATACATTTGTAAATAAATACATTTAATTACTTTTTGTAGAGCTGTCATGTTAACAACGTGCTATCAAGTCCTCCATTTTATTGCAGCTAGACAGGGTCGCACGCAAACTCGCCTGACGCATGTCAAACTCTACTCGAATATTAACGTCGAGTTTTATAAACCAAGGTCACTGTAGTAGCAATAGTTATAACGTCACAACTGGTTATCGGGTTGGATACTTCAAATATATTTTACTTGGTATTTCTTTTCTTTTCTTTTTATGGTACCATTATCAAGTGACGGGATGAACAAGTCGTGCGCCTAGTGGTCAGCGACACCTATTTCCATAGACATAAGGTGACAAGTCCCATGTGCCTGTAATTTTGTGCCAGGCAGCACCCTTAGGGTGCATTTATTCGACACGAATTTCATCGCGCTCACCGTGGGCATCTAACCCTCATGGCAAAATACGCTCTATTTATTTTGCATTTAAGTTTTAACTTAAATGAGCGTTCCGGGCGCGCGGGCTAGACTGGCTTGTCTTTGGTTGAAGCGGCGGCCGCGGGGCGACCGCGCGGTTGTATTATTCAGAAGAATTTAAATGTTGATGCCCACTAAATAGAATTCAGATCCGCCATTAATGTAGTCGCACGTGAAAGAGTGGGAACTGGGCGTTTGCCGTGCGGCCGCGCGAATACTTTCGCGTAACTGGGGGTTTACCCTTTAAAACTGGAACACAGTAATACGCATATTACTTTTGACAGCAGAAATAGGTGAGCAATACTTCCCTACGAATTCTTTCACGAGGATGGTATTTCGCCCAGCGACGGCGGTGGGGTGCTCGGCGTGAAATCAGCGTGGCATACATTTTTCAGGTGTTAAAAAGAATAGATACTAAAAGATTGTTTAAATTAATTTTTATATTCATTTTCAGTGGGACATAAAATTTTATGGCGATTTTATTCAGCAGTGGAACA